TACAATTTCATCGCATTGCGCATTTTTAAGAGTTCCAATGTATCTTTTTATTAAACATCACATATCGTAACAATAAAATCGAAACAAATGCACTTCCTTTTGCAATAGAAAGACTTTTTGTAAAATCACCGGATATGTTCACTTAGCATACGTCCAGAATCATAAGATACTTCATTGTTTTGTAACTTTTATAAAGTCTTTACTGTTATACCATTGTAAATAATATGGCAATTTTACATTGCATTAGTTTCAGGAACTCTGAAATCATCGGGTGATTACTAAGTGATACACATATGAATAAACACCACATTAAAACGATAAGGTAAAAACATCAAATATGTCAGCGTTTTTATTCTCATTGATTACAAAAATAATTCTTTTTAAAACAACGTATATCTAAATAAGTATTTCTATTTATATCAATTATCAATATGGCAATGTTGCACTATCACTTTGAATGTGATGCCGGTCAATGTATTATGACAATAATATGTTTTTTACTGAATTTAGTCACTGTGCATATTCGACTTTAAAGTCAGTATCATAATTATACAATACAAACTACAAACAAACAAACAAACAAAAACAAACCAAAAAACAATAAAAAAAGAGATTAAAAACTGTGTCAGATTATAAGTTATCATTTTTTTTCCATTATAAATTGTATATACCGCAAATAGCGTTAGCATTTCTTATTTTATAATAAAATGGTTAATATTCATTTAACGTCAAAATACAAAACTATGTTCAGCATACATTAAGTATAATATCATAAGAAAAAAAACACGTATCTACAAATAATTGACTAAATATCCCACTGCCTAGCTTAAAAGAAATTGTTTCAAAATTATATTACTTTTGAAAATGAAACAAAATATATAAACAAAAGACCGCAGGTGGGTATCTAGTGTCGTTTATATAACTATGTACTAATTTAAACTAACAGAAATGGAGTGTCTTTAAATTATTGATTAATTTATAGTGTATGAATTTTTATATTTTACAAAAGTAAAAATTAAACATGTATTGAAAACTCTAGACATTGTAGCGGTATCCGTTCAAATTGAATTTGTTTGTTGCTAAAACTTTAAATAAGTACGGTGTTTTAATGCTCTAAAACTTTGTAATAATGCTAGCAGTCAAAAAAGGACGGTAAATAAAACACATATTTTTGCAACTTCTGACTTTAATTTCCTGCGTTTTTGCTTTATTTTTTAAAGCCAATTAACAATAAAAAAAGGGCCCCCCTTTTTGGATATTTTCAAGTTTTTCCCATAGACGTAAAAGGGGTTTTTTTCCATTTTAAATTTTTCAATAAATTTTCGGATGAAAAGGTTTGTATCGGGTTTAAATAAAAAACCCCACCCCAAAATCAGTTTTAAACCCGAAACAAAAAGAAAACACGATTAAAATTTAATTTTTTTTTCGAAAAAATTTTTCTTATGGATCCCCTTTTACTTTTTTTTCATTTTTTTCCCACAAAAGAGCAAAAAATTTTAAAAAACAGAAAAAAACAATGTCATAAAAAAAAATTTTTTGTTTTGTGCTTTTAAAGAAAAAAACCCTTTTGCTTTTTAGAAAACATGTCACTTACTTTTTTGGGGATGGTTTTGTTTTTGACTTTAAATTTTTGTTTTAAATTTAAATTTAAAAAATGTGTAACTCTTTCCCACATAAATTTTGAAAGAAAATAAATGGGAAACACTCGTCAAATCCCATGAAAATTTTTCCCGGGAAATTTGAATAGTGACATTAATAAATGCATATAAATAATATGTTTTAAGGTTTTCTGAACTTTTAGCATGGCCACTTAAAAATTTTAAAAAACCATAAAATATTGTGTATGTTATATTTAAAACCCTTGCTAATTAAAATCCCAAAATTTTATGATAAATTTTAACATACTCAAATCTTTCCAACTAAAATTAAAGTTTTAAATTTAAATTTTAAGGGTTTGTCAGCTTTTTTATTCTCATTGATTCAGAAAAAAAATTAAATTTGAAAAACGAAATATATAAATAAGTATTTCCTTTTTCAAAATCCTTAAATCAATATGGAAATGTTGCACTATCATTTTTAAATTTTTGTTTGCCGGTAAATTTTTATTATGACAAAAATTTATGTTTTTTTCCCTAAAATTTTTAGGAAATTTTTGGCTATTCGACTTTAAAGTCAGTATCATAATTATACAATACAAACTACAAACATACAAACAAAAACAAACCAAAAATCAACCAAAACCAAAAAAAAAGAGATTAAAAACAGTGTCAGCTTCTAAGAAATCAATTTTTACCATTAGAAATTGTATATACCGCAAATATCGTTAGCATTTCTTTTTTTAATAAAAGGGTTAATATTCATTAAACGTCAAAATACAAAATTATGTTCAGCATACATTAAGTATTATATCATTAGTAAAAGAATAAAAATATAAATACATATCTACAAATAATTGACTAAATATCCCACTGCCTAGCTTGAAAGAAATTGTTTCAAAATTATATAAATTTTTAAAATGAACAAAAATATATAAACAAAAGGCCGCAGGGGGATATCTAGTGTCGTTTATATAATTATGTACTAATTTGAAATAAAAGAAATGGAGTGTCTTTTAACTATTTGTTTATTTATATCACTACTTTTCTGAGATTGCTAGCTTTGACTTTAACTGGTTTAATTAATTGTTAAAATTAGTGTTACCCTTCTACACATGATTTTGAAAGAAAAAATGGTAAAACTCGTCATATCCCATGATGCATTTTCGGAACGAATAGTGACAATAATAGTATGCAATATGAATAATAACTATTAATGTTCTGAACATTAGCATGGCACATGTTAACATTTAACATCATAATAATATTGTGTATGTATACTTATAACTATGCTAATTCTAAACATACATCAACATTTGATAAAATGCATTAACATACTCAAATCATCAACTCAATAAAGCTTCAATTAATTAACTGAAAAAAATCATCATAATCAAACAAAGCTTTGAGTTCATTAAAAGAACTCCACTGACGTTGAAAAGCCGAAAGACAACATTTGAATTTCGTACACATGAAATCAGGTGGGGCACTTAAAAAAGTAAAATGTGCAAAAAGAATAACGAAACATTCTCGAAAATATTATGTTTATGTTATACTGAACCCGATTTCAACGTTTTTCAGTTTTGGATCATTTTTCATAAAATATTTATTCCGGAAAAAAAAATCAGAGAATTATTTAAAATTGTACACACATAGTATTGGTGTAGACGTATATCAAATGGAATGGAATTTTTTTTGCGAAAATATATTTTATTATTTCAGTTTCGTCATATCAAAAATAGCCTCTGTGGAGTCCCTTTAATTAGCATGATAAAATTCATAATCATAATTAACAATTATTTGATGGCATGCATTAGCAGAAACAAACCATCGCAATTTACAGTGCGTAGTAATTGTCTAGTAATTTAGGAAGACAAATCATCATAACTTACAGTGCTTTGAGTACATACATTAGCAAAAATACACGATCGCTTTAATTTGCTTAAGACATCAAATAGTTTGTCTATATTATTTTCTGTTGCAGATGTGTAGATTCTATAAAAGTATTAAATTTTCTTTTTTTTAAAAAAAAAATGTTTGCAAGGGTTTTTTTGGGGAGAGTGCAAAAATTTTGATTTTTTAAAAATATTTAATTTTTTTTAACGAATAATGTGTATTTTTAAAAATTCTTCCCAAAATATTACAATAATTAAGAAGGAACATGGAATAAAAAATCAGAATTCTTTTGACAAAGTTCTTCACTCGCCGACGTTGACTTTGATATGCTTCACTCTGATTAAAACATCAGCCCAGGTATATCATTTATCTATATTTTAAAAGATGGAAACAATAATCAAGTTAGTTATGAATTGATAAACGATGTAAAAATAAAAGACTTATCTTGAGGTTAATTTATGTAGTAAGTGATATTCACTGAGTACGTATCAAATAACAGGTAAGAGAAACAATAAATTTGTACTATAAAAGACCACTATCACATAAACAACACAGTCATGTAAATTTTACACATCAATTAAAGTTGCATGTCTCCAGTATAAAGTATTTTAAGAAAATTAAACTTGAAGAAAATGTATTAAGAGGTTTAGTGAAGTAAAAAAATCTAAGATTCAAGTACTAATATACATGCTTTGTGCGACTAATGACAGATATTGCAGTATTTATCACTATATTTCTACTTCTATTGAGTGACTAATGCTAATGCAGTAAGGCTTTTTTTGCCTATTTTGATCTATATTGGGTAGTTTAAGTGGATCGTGTCATTTGCAACGTGTAAAATAATGTCCTTGTTCTTTTCAAATGTTTTCCTCATAAAAACATTTTCATTTTTTTATGAAAATTAGCATAATTCTGGAGACATGAAACTTTTAACATTATATGTCCACTTTCACAGCTAAATACGATGTCGTATGTCTTTAAATATTCACACATGAATCATTTTTAGCACGGCATGATAAAAACAATCTTAAACAAGTGTGCCGTGAGAAAATATAAAAAAGATAATTGTTAAAACGCACAAATTCCCATGTGTAAAAATGTTATTTCAAATAAGTACTGCTGGAATGATTTTCAACAAACAGAATGTTACATTTTTCAAATATGATAAATTATGGTGAAATAGCAAGATACAAATATGACGGAAATTTACTCAGTGTTTTTTTAGTTCTATTACAACAGACATGTTTTTTTTTCAGTCGTCAATGTTATCACGTGAAAAATTATTAGGCAAGTACAACTATGTTGTTTGTGCAGCTCTCATTGTATACACATGATAACACAGCTATTCTTTGTTTCTTCTACATATTCATGAAAAAAACAATACATCAAAATATTTCATATGTTGTAAAGTAATCCATCAATACAGAAAAATATAAATATTGTTGAATAAACTTAGAGTAAAGCAAAATAAAGCAAATAACGTTGTCACGTGTAATATTTTTATCACATTTTTTTTTGTTCTAGGATATAAATAGTGACGAAAGTGGAAGAAGACATTTACAAATGTTCGCAGATTAGTTACATTTCTTCAGGGGTAAACATTTTGTAACGACAGGGATAGTTTTTTATTATTTCTATAACTTCAATGACAAAGGAAATTTAAATGCTCTGCAATTATTTTCTTTGAGTTACACCCCTTTGTTTCGATATTCTTTCTATTTCACAGATTATTGTAGTGATAACAAATAAAATAATGTCTTATTAATATTGCGAAAAATGTTGCGAATATTTTTTCGTTTTTTTCTGATATAGTTAGATACTCGAAGAACTTTTCTTTCATCCAAATCACATAACGTTCAACTGTTATAACTATCTTAATTCTTCTGTACAGCTTCTAAGTAGGCATTTTAATCGATTACTGCAAACATTGTATTATAATAATTTAATTATATCATATCAAATTTCCAACACCATCTACATATTCTTATTAAAACGGTTTGTTTCCAAAGAGTCTTTTATACGATTATAAATATCTTTGTTTCGATACTCTGTCTTGATACTCCAATAAGAAATGTGACGACTTTCAGCTTATCTGAGTGACGACTTCATTGTTTTGTATATTTGTTTTTGTAAACAATACCTTTCATAAAAAAGAAAGAATGTAAATGAATAGGAAAGTGATTAATGAACTGATTTCATTAAAATAACTAAAACGCATTTAACATATTTATTTATTTGTTCAACTGAAAACATTGAATATCAAAATTAATATAACATAGGTGAATATCATTTGTATAATATAATCAGTATATGTTTTTTTTTTGTTGTTTTTTTTGTTTTGATTTTTGTCTTAAGAAATGTTTTGTAATTGGGTTTCAAAGGAAATATTTATATAATGTTCTGCTAATCCGCTCAATAAAATTTACAAATTGTCTCTGAAACTTGTAGAGGCAAATTTTATATTCTTACTTGTCTGGAGTGCTATAGTCTGGTGCTATTTTTGGATTCTATTTCCTCGGCGATGTTTTTAACTTCATCCCAATCAACGGATACTTCTGTTGCAGATTTCATTGCTTGAATAAGTGTATTAAAGGTGGCCTCGTTTTGCTTCTGAACAGTCCATTTTAGAAGCATTTTAAATATCCTCAGTCCTGTTGTTTGGTTATCCAATTCTATTTGCTCTAGTTGTACGTTGCGTAAACCAAGTTTGATTCCAAGGGTCTGCCAATTTTTACCTACTGTGTTAGACAGTTTGCTGAGTTGTTCTTCTCCCAACACGTAATCATTTTTCAATCCTATGTTCAAGTGGTCTTGAAACCATTCAGAAATTGCCTGTCGTGAACTTATTTCATGGCCTTTGATCATATCTGGGCAAGGTTCAACCGTTGATTCTTGAAGGTCTTCCAATGACACAGTTCGTTGACTTCCACCAAAGCAGTGATTTTCTTCGTTGCACTTAAAGCAAATCTCAAAAAGGCTTCGTTGCTTTATTGATGGCTGCCTATGCTTTTTAAATTCGTTCATGACGTTTGAAACTACAAATCGACGAAACAAGTCGACAATGGCAGGATTAATACCCGAATTACAAAGTTTCTGGACACTTAAATCAATGAAACCTTGATGATGTTCAATTATTCCAACATGGTAACGGTCAAGTTTGAATACACCTAGATTTTCATACAGCAATACCTGCTTCTCTTGTCCGGGACTTTCAATGGAGACTATTTGCCATTTTCCAACCAAAGCTGCGATGACACGATAATACACTATCTGCACTAGGGGAGAGATATTAAAGGACATAACAAATTTCAGCAAAGTCTGTTGTCTTCCAGAAAGAAATTCTTTTACAGCATCATTAGCTCTGTATGATCGGAGAAAAGATGGTACAACATACCACCCAAGTCCTTTGGTCTCTTCAGTTTCGTCGTCATAGCTCAACGCTTCGGAAATGATATGATGTCTTTGCATTAACATCAGCAGCACGTCTTTGTGTTCAAGAAAGTGGTTTTTAGGATCGGTACTCCAAACTCTCTCAAGCAATTGCATGTTTAACTTTGCTTCCTGTCTGAGGGTCTTCCAAAGATGACGATATGTTGGTTCTCTCTTGCAAAATCTCTCTGAAGTTATTATACATCTAAATGCGTCAATAACATACTGCGTGTCCAGAGCAACGTATGCTGATAGTGGCTCTTCGTCAAAGTAAATTAAGTTTCCTTTTGCATGTTGATAGAGGAGAAATACTTTAATTTGTTCTTTGTCTTTTAGCGGAAACTCGTTTTTTCCATCAATTTCCACGACTTCGCTATGCAGAATTATGTGTTTATGTTTCTTTGCAAGCAATTCTTTTTCAAGAGGTAACCACCTCGCAGGAATAAGCTTTCCATGTAAATTCGAACCAAGACGTATGATTTCTTTACGCAGTTCAACAATACTACTGTCGCAAGGATTGGTGCAATTGACAGCGAAATGTTTTGCCTGAATGTGATTGATAATTGGCGTATCCTCAAAAAGCTGCCTTATTTCATCAAAATAGTCGTCTGCAAATATCTGTCTATTGTTTTCATCGCCTTCGAGTAAGTCTTTATGAGTACCTACAAGAATGACTGGAGGCTGTAAACCATCGTCGGACCCAACGTAAGAATGTATGGATCTCATCCAGTATTCTGCATACTCTTGCATGTTCTTCCCTACAGATTCATTTGGAAATTCAGGATCCTCAATAATAGCTGATAAAGGTTTGGTTAAATTAAAAACCATGAGATAAACAGAAGTCGTACTGTGAAATAAGATATGTGTTGCATAAAAGATAAACTGACCCCCAAAATCCCAGAACTGTAGGTCTCCATCAGTATTAAACGTGTCACATGTTTTCATTTTGAGTAATCTTGAAACTTCCCGATAATCTTTTGATTTAGGTGAGCTCTTTTCAATATCTTTCTTTAGTCCTGTTTTTCTGACATTTTCTTCCAAGCTTGCACTTTCTTCGTTTAATTTGATAAGTTTTGAATTGTCTGTACTTTGATTTGATTTGTTTCCATCTTTCTCAATCTGTACTAATGACGCAATACGTCTGAAGTATTCGTTTTCGTCTGATGAAGATCTCTCTGGACAAAACTTGACACCTTCTTGTGCATTAGAGTATTTACAGCTACTTATTTCAACACCATTGGTGCTTTGAACACTCCCCGAATCTTTTCCAACAAGAATATTGGTTAATGACGTCTTGCCTTGGTCGAAATTACCAACAACATTTACACGAATGGAGTTATCATTTTCTTCACCCTCAGCTAAAGCTTTTTTGTAAATTTCATAATTTAGCACATCATTATCGAACGCATCAAGAGCATTTAACTGCATTTGCATTAGTTGTTTCTGCAATAAACATGTAAAAAATTAAAAACGAACCAACTGAACTGTGTACTGATTCAAAACCTGATCAATCGGTGGGTGAAATTGAGGAAAAAATCACTGTATCTGAGGTTTCAAAAGAAGAAGAGTGTTTAAGTAGAAAGTGAATCTGAAAAAAAAACATATCAAAGAAATTGATACTGGAGATGTAAGAAAAAGTAAAGACATTGAATAAATCAATTCAGTTGAACATTCTGTGTAAGATAAAACTGTAATTAAGGAAAATTAGATTATAATTAGATCATATTGTTTACATCAAATTGTTCATATACATTGAAAAATTGTTGTCGTAGATAAACTGCATTAAGCTATATTTTGATGTACACCAACGTGTTGTGTTTTAACCATAAATGTTCTGAATGGATGTTACTAAACATCTTACAAATAGATACAAGATTCGAGTGACTTTTGTTTTGGCGTTTCTAGGTCGACCTGTCACTTTTATAAATTTTTATAATGTTTCATTTTGATTTAACTATTGATTTACTATACAATATGGATCAGTTTTACATATCTTCATTACTGAAAAATTCCAAGAAGATGACTGTGTTTGTTCTGAATCATGCAGACAATAAAGACATGAACAAATATTTATCAAGGAATTCTTATTAATACAGTATTTTAATCGTTTCCATCTTACTAAACTCAGACAAACATACATATATATCATCATTAATATGTATGTTTGTCTGAGTTTAGTAAGATGGATAATAATGATATGCAAATAACATTTGATCTGACAGAGAATAATTTAGAGTTGTTTCATTTGATGACTGCTGGCATGTTTTGCAAAAGGATTTACCACATAACGTTATAGTTTTTTCATAAATCATGTAGTACTTTATTATGGCCACTTTAAGATAATTTGAAAATACTTTTGCTAAATCTGTCAGTTTAATTAAGTTTTGTTTTAACTTAACATGCTTTTAAATATGATATCATTGGTTCTATGTGCAAACGTTTTGAATTGTGATACTGAACAACTTTTATTGTGTGTGTGTACGTAATATACTGTTTTTCACGTATTTCAGGACGAACAGTTTTTGTTGGTAAAAACGGAGAGCGATAAAATGTCAATGTATTATTGCTATTGATTTAGCAAAAAATGTTGTTGGTTATATTTTTGTCTGTTTTTTATATGTTAAGAATAAGAAGTTTTGTTTTCATCATTGACCTGTAAGACATTTGTTTATATCACAATGTTTTTTATGCATTGTTAAATCATACTGGTCATTTGGTTGATAAAATCATATTGAAATAATTATATTAAAGGTTAAATTATGAAGATATATTTCACAAATTATGTGTAGTTGAAGAGCTAGCAAGATGCCAAACATCCTGATGAGATTTATAACCTATAAACACGTTTCCAGTAAAACTGTCTCTGGTTCTCCCTAGAAGGCAAATTCACGCGGAATAAAAGTTAATCATGTTGCATTTTAATTTCATTTTTGATGTATTGCCAATATTGTTCACCTATATATCTATGATACATAATGTAGCGACATTGTCAAGAAGGTCTAATATAACTTGAATAAATGCATGTTTTAGTAACTAAAGGATATAAACAGCTGTTGTTGTTCAAAGTTGTTGTTCCAAAACTCAAGTTAAATTGTATTGGACTAGAAATAATTCATGGAACTGAAATATTATAGTGTTGTATTTTGCAACCTTATTTTATCAAATCAATTGAATTCATTCTTAATTAAAACAAATATATATACTGGTTCTTGTTTTCATCATGCAAAATGAATATAGTAATATTTCAAATACGTTTGTGTTTTCTCAAACTCACCTGTACTATACCATAGTCGTTAAATAGTCAAGTGTCACGTATCCTATAAGCATATTTTTCGGTATAGTTTTTTAACTCCGTTAAAGCAAATGTTTTCTAGTATATAATAAATCGTCTGTGATAACGAAATATTGTTTCAGTTATAACCTGCAGTGTACAAAATATTAATATGAAGTTAGCCGGCAAAGTTGTCCTAAATCAAAGTCATGTTCATTTTGGAATTTTTTAATAAATTATCAGGTCTGTTATGATCTTGACGTTGCAGTATACGCGACATTTTAAAGGTTTTTTTGAGAATGTGTTCGTCGCCGATTAAAGGCATATCTTTGTTATAGAAATATTTTTATAGCCATTATTCTTTTTCTCTATAGTTATACTTGTTTCCATGAATATGACCGAGCAACATACATTGATATAATATTATACTATGAACATGTTATATACATAAACAAAAATAAACTAGAAAAAACAATTACAGTTGTATTCCCGCTCGCTCTATCACATCACCTTTTTAAGGTTTTTTTAATGTTATGTATCCAAGAAAATGATCTTAATCAAATGTTTATTTTTGTTATGATAGAATTGAATCCCTGGACAAAGTTTTGCAACATCAAGAAAATATAGCTCAAACTGCAACAAGTTTCTTTTTGAGGGGTTATCAAATGTAGATTTTTTTGACAAGATGTTATTCCATTTGGTCATTCATTTAAATATGGCACCTGTCATTTGTTGTTACGTTATTGTTTTGTCCTTTGATAAAAAATAAACATTAGCGTGTCCTGTGTTAGAAATCCTGGGCTTAGTCTATGTGATTAGATGCAAAATATGAATACAATCATGATATGTGTCACAGAATATAACACGTTATTTCCCTTTGTCAAATTTTGGATTTATTTCTTTTTAATATTTCATACTACAATTAAAGTTAACACGTATTAAATATAACAAGCACACACAACATTATTATTATATATAAAAATTATCCTACAGACATACATATGGTAGAAAAACAGGAAACATTAAATACATGCTCCTTCAATTTGGTTTTCAAAAAACGTATTGATCTATTGTGACTCGTTATGTATCATTTAAAGCAACGCTTTTATTGATATCAACATACATTGAATGATATTGTTAAAACTTCAGTTAAAGCATTATATAAGTACTTTACGTACATTTGAATACTTTTTAACATAAGTGCGTTACGTACTTTGGCGTCCAATCCTAAAGTACGTTGGGTAGTTACGTATTTGAGGTCAAAGTTTGACCCCGAAGTGCGTTTAACAGGTGCATATTTTAACATAGGACAAACGACCATAAAAATCAAATTGATAAATCATTAAGATTTCAAAACGGCAGCATTTTGTACGAGATGGCTATCAAAAATATATTTACTGAAAGAAATGATCATGGAATTGTTTTACAATCTTTTGTTTATAATACTGTATATGACTTGCGGCATTGAATACGTTTAATAAGAGATGTAATGTAGTCATGTAGTCTCACTATTTAGGAATATCGAAAATTGTAAATTAGGCTCAAAATTAAGTAACTGATTCAGCTCTAAAGCAACTTTACTATAAAATGTTACGTCTAACTAGATTATTTCAACAAAAAATGAAATGTTTGAAAATAAGAGTCAATGAGATGATATTTACTGAATTTCATTACATGCCCATTATATTTATAATGTGTTTCAATATGGCACAAACATTTATTAAGCAAATGGCTGACAGAACATAATGGTTTTCGTAACATCTGTTGTTGTTTTTTTTTCCATAATTTTAATACATACACAATTACAGTGCTACTAGTTTGTTTAACAGTCATAATTTTTAGATATTTAAATTGGTTCATAAATCATTTACCAATTAAGCATCATGTTTTGTTTATTACTACTACATCAGAATTTAAATGGGAATTATATAGATTATACAGTGATATATCTGAGTATCAACCGTCATCTTTAAATATTTCAAGGTTGCAGATTGTAATAAGACAAAATTTAGTTGACATCTTCTGGAACTCAGATAGTGTTGATATTAAACATATAATCACACTTATCTCGTGTTTAACCTCAAAGTGCGTTTGACCCCAAAATACGATGTGAAATTTATTCGGGTCCAACCCAAAAGTACGTTGAATCCGAAACACGTGTATATATGAATTGTCACAGCAAAACTTAAGTCATCATAACTAGTTCTTTCATCAGAAATGCTAATGAGACTGTTTAAATAGTAGATGGAGGGTTATTCGATTTATTTCTTAAAAAGGAATGTGACAAAAGTAAACCATTCATATGCATGTAAGATCATTTATTTTTGGTTATTTTTTAGGTTAAATTTCGTAAACAATCAAGTTTAAATTTGTGATTAAATTATACATACAATACTGATGATAACTTTTGTAAAATTATTTTCATCAGGCTAAAAACGGATTAAAATCAGAACAGCTCCTTCTATTTTTAAAATCATGTAGCAAGTTTTTTTTAACATAATAATTATATGAGAAATCTTAGTAGTCATTTCCAAATGCATTTTTTATTCTTACCAATCTACCAGACATGTAACACCATTTTAATTATAAGGCAGCTTAAGTTAAAGGTTATAAATTCTTCAGGTAAGTAAAACAAAAAAAAATTTATATATAATTGTAAATATGTACTTTTCTTTATTTTTCATATGATATTTCCATCTATCATGTCCTGCTATTGAGAGTTTATGTTTAAACTAGAAATGTGTCATCATGCCACGGATGCCCCCGCATGCAGCCAAAATTTCAGATGGTGCATTAATTATTTTTTTCATTTTAAGTTCAACGCCCTTAAAACTTTTCAATGTTAACACAATCCATTTTCATACAATGTTCAAGGCACTGAAATTATTCAGTCTTAACCTTTTAAAAATAGCATATTGCATATTTGTAGCCAAAATAATGGCTAAAAGTATGAGTGCTGAAACTGAAAGTTCAAATTTTTTCCAACATTCAGGAAAGATAAGTTTGTCTAAAAGCATTGAACCACAACCAAATTCAAACTTAAACTGCTTATTCCTAAGATGTATCTATATTATTTTCAAAGTGAAAGGGACATAACATTGCCAAAAAATCATCAAACCATGACCAAGTTCCAACTTGACCTGTTCATTCCTTTGACACATCCATATGTCAAATTTAAGTTGAATATGTAACACTGTTGGGTAGATAATGAACAGAAACTGTAAATTTCATATTATTTTCAAAGTGAAAGGGGCATTACTCTGCCAAACATCATTGAACCATGACCAAATTCGAACTTGGCCTTGGCA